AAATAAATAAAATCTTTAAAGATTAAAATAAAATAAAGGAGGGCAGACTGATGAATCACTGACCTCTACCTCTGAAACTAATAATACATTATACATTAATTGAATTTAAATTAAAAAAATAAAAATAAAATAAAATCTTTTTAAAATATATATATGTAACTACGATTATTACACCTAAAACCACAATTTCTCAATACCACCACATTTTTAGTCAGTGATCAGATTACCCCCAAAGGAACTATGCACTTTGAATGTGGCAACATTCCCATTAGTCTCTTGGGTAAGCTTTCCCAGGCCCCACATGCATGTGGCTGCTAGAGGCTGGCCATACCCAACTAAGCAGTCCTTGAAGGCACCACTTTTAGAGCACACTTAATGACTAACAGTCCAGTGAGTGATGCTGAGTCAATTCATAAACTGTTACTTAACGTTCTCAGTAATCTCTGCAGGAAGGAAAGGGAAGTGAGTAATAGGTTTCTAAATCCCATTCAAAACGCGTATTTCCTCTATTTCACAAAATTACACCATTCTTTAACTCTGGAGAAGGCCCAGTGGTTTTGGCATTCATCCTTTCTAATCACCCCCATAATATTGAGATCATACTCTAAAAGCACACAGTTTAACAACAAACTAGATAAACTTCTATTTCTAAACCAAAAGCTAAAATTTTGAGCACTGGAATTTTTTTCGAGAGAACACTAGGATCGAACAGTTGGATTTGAAATGTTTGCAAACTGTTGTGGGGACACTGATATCTGGTGTCAGGAGATAGCAGAAATGAGGACTTAGGAGAGGACAGAGAACAGGGTAGCATCTGAGGGTGAAGGGTGTGGAGTGTGGCTGGAGAAAGAGAAGGAAAACGGTGATTTGCAGAGCAATGAGATAGGATAGATGAGCGAAGTAACAGTAATAAGTATAAACTGCTCCATTAATTAAGCACTTCCTATTTACCAGGCACGCTGCACAGAATAAGCACAGGGAAACAGTAGCCCTTGTTGTGGTGGTCACCACCAAGCATTTTTCATCATCCTATTTAATTCTCCCAATACGCCCATGAGGTAGGTACCATTGCCCCCATTTTGCACGAAAAGAAACTGAGGTCTGAGTATTACATGCCCAAATGGCCAACAGTGGCAGATTTTAGACTTCAGTACAAGTTGGCCTCTCAAGGAGGCTCATGCTTCCCATGTAAGCCGTGCCGCTCCTCTGAGCATGCTGTGCTCCCCAAAGGAGTCAGAGCTGTGGTTTTCCTTCACAGAACCCTTGTCTGACTGAGAGAACGAGGAGGTTTAGCTACACATTAAAGAATACCTGTCCCTGTAAGACTTGGGGCACGCAGTCCCTTATCGCTTACACTGAGTGAGCTCTGCCTCTGCTCTCTTCTAGGGAGTGAGGCAGACGCCAGTCTCCCATTTTCCAGGTTTTGAAAAAATAGTTGTAGTTCACATGATGTTTTTATTTTGGGAGCAGAAAAATGAATATGCTTCAGCAAACCACCCACATCACTAGCTACTTAGCCTCTCTGTGCCTCTGCATTCTCATCTCTAAAATAGGGATAATAAACTGCACCCATATGCACTCATAGCATTTTGCTCACTCTTCGGTTAATACAATCCTATACATGCGCTGTACATGGAAAAGGATTATAGAACTCATATTTACTTTGTGTGCCTGTCTTGTCTCAGAGTGTAAGCTCTGAGAGTAGGTCCTAGGTCTCAGAATGCATAGAACGGTACTCTGCATGGAGTAGATCTGCAATAACTGCTGAGTAAATTTGTTCAAAATTGAGTTACCATCTCCAGCCCAGGCAGTCAACATTGTCATCCTTTCCTCCATGGAAAGGAGCCTCAACTAATGGCCCGGTGTTTTTCTCACAACTTCTGCTCATCTTGTTTTGTTGGAAAGCCAAACAAAGTGCTCAGACCAGGAACGAAAGAGTCTGGAACTATGAGCCCGTAATCCAAGAGAAAGGAAATATGCTAAAGATTTGATAAAAAATGCTGGATGCGGCACCTCGAAAAGCGCAAAAGGTATGTTCTAAAGGCCACATAAGTCTATTACTGGGGTTCTATTAAAAGAAAGGGAATTATGAGCGCCACCTGTTGGTGGAAAATTATTATGAAAAATAAAGGCTTGGTTCCATAACCCCGATTGAGAGTCTATCAGAGAACTAACTACTCACATGGAGTATCAGCAAGGATAGTGGTTTTCTGACATCTATTTAAATCGAAGTCATTGGTGGCCTGGACCTGCAGAGCTGGCCACAGAAAGAAGGACACCAGTGGGCGGGGAGCCTCAGCCCCACAGAAGTGCCAAGTGAGCATAGGCTTCAACTGTCTTAGAAAAACAAAGTCCTCCAGTCTTGGCATTTATTCAGGCTGCTGGAAGAACTGCTACATATTATACTGCTTAACACAGAATGAGTGAACTCCAGCGATGACTTCCTCCAGAACCCAGACTCATTCTATGGACTAGAAGAAGCTAGAACAAGAGCAATGTGCCACAAGGTGAAAATAAGATGGAGTTATGGGGTTCCACAGTTTTGTAATGACTTAACGTAGACTCTATTAGTATCAGTGTAGCATCCTAAGTACAATTTCAGGCAGCTACTCAATGTGAATTTATTTGAAGATGACATAACAGGGCCAGGGTGATAGTTCAGCTCTTTTGCCAAGACAAAACAAGAGTTTAAGGACACAATAAACGTCAAAGATGTTTATCACTTTACCTCTGCTAAGAACCCTGGGCAAAAAAGTTGGGATTTAGAAATACTACAGCTTAGTTCTACCTGGAAGAGTTACATTTTTACATCTTTGGAACAAATTTTTATTGTACCATTACACAAGATCAATCCCAAGGGACAGTTAGAGACTTCTGCTGTATGTTACAAATACGATAGCAGATGATCTGTCTGTGATGAAGAGGACTTAGAGAGGACTGTAAAGAACATGCATGGCCAGTGGTCACAGGTGGAAAGCACTTCCTAAGCATAAAACTAAAGATGGATTAAGATTATGAATGAATTGCATCCTGTAAAGAAGGCATTTTGGTCAGTTACTGTGTACATTTATCACTGATCACAGAAGTAATCTTTGACCAGTCATGAAAAAAACTCTTCAATCTGCTGAAAGAATATGGTGACTGACTTCACAGACACCACAGAAATTCCTCAGAAGTTGGCTGCTTTGGAATATTTAGAGACAGATTATCATAGCTGCTCTTTTTAAAAGAAATATTTCTTCATGGTTTTTATACTTATACATAGAACACATTTTACAAGACTGCAGAATGTTATAATTCACGATTTAAGGTGACCTCCAGCGGTCACCAAAAGTCCTGCTGAATTATACTGCAATTGTACTAAGAAAACAGTATTCGTGTTCTCTACTAGGATACTGTATTTATACAAATCAAAAGCAGCTAAAAATGTGCCCTCAAGAAAATGATCATGTTATGGATCCTACCATTTTAAAATTTTGGTGCCAGTAATTTAAGATTTATACATTTTTTTTTAATTATCAAGTATCTAGATTTACCAGATCTATTCTTGTTTTAATTTTCCTCTAGATATTCTTATGGAAATAATTTTATATGTTTAACCTCATTATTATATTTTGCACACTAATGGCCACATTTAGTGTGTGACTTAAGAGAAGTTCTCTTTTATGCTGTTTATAAGTCAGTGGGCCTATTCTATTTCTTTTTAAAGATTTATTTATTGGGACACCTGGGTGGCTCGGTCAGTTAAGCATCTGCCTTCAGCTCAGGTCATGATCCGGAGCCCCACATCAGGCTACTTGCTCAGCGGGGAGCCTGCTTTTTCCCTCTGCCTTCAGTTCCCTCTGCTTGTGCTCTGTTTCTCTCTCTCTCTCAAATAAATAAATGAAACTTTAAAAAAAGAAAAAATAAAGATTTATTTGCAAGAGAGAGAGAAAGTGGGAGAGGGGAAGAGGGAGAGAATCTCAAGCCGACTTCCCGCTGAGCACAGAG